AGAGATTTTACTCTTCTGCTCCGCCATCTGTTGGGCTGTTAGCTTATCCTTGGGAAATAGGACGTGTCTCTGGTTAATAGACATTTGAGGTTCTCGGAATGGAATGCTGAGAAAGCAATTCGGCTGGAACTGACAGGGCCGAGCACGGGTCTCAGCCGCTCGCCCGTCTCGGCTTGGTGACAGCCGCGCAGTGAATAATCAGAGCCCGGTGGAATGATAGCAAATGTCAGCATCAGGTGTTCACTTGTCACAGCTCGGATTGTCTTATCGCCAAACTATTCCTACCTTCTATCCTCCGGTTCGTTGGAGAACCATCTTTGCCCTCTTTTCCATTTATTTTGTTTTATTTTTAACATGCTGGGCTGTGCCCGACAGCTTCCCAGACAGAGGTCCAGACTGTAGCTGATGCTTGCTACGGCGAAGTCCGGTTATCAAGGAGGCCAAGCTTGGCTCAGAAGCGGTGGTGGGCTTGGTCCCTGGGCCTGCCACATAGACTTGTAAATGGCACTGCCGGGAGGGCTCTTGTGTTTCTCTCGGTGCGCGCGCGTGCCACAAGTAGGTTTCAGAGTTGCTCGGGTTTTCTCCTAACACTCTCTCTCTTCTCTTTGTATGTGTGCTGCTGTTGTTTTGTCTCCTTGGACGCAGCGGCGCTGATTACTACGATTACGGGCACGGACTCAGCGAGCAGACCTACGATTCCTACGGTGAGTGGCGTGACGGCCGCAGGAGACACCCCCAGCGCCTCCGTGGAGGGGGTCCCCACAAACACTCGCTGCTGGCCCTGAGCTGTGAGCCCCGAGCCAGCGGCGTCCTAGCTGCGCTCAGGGCTCCCTCAGCACGGACATGTGCTGTTTCAGGACCGCGGGAGGCTCTGAGGAAGCCATGTGGATCAAATCCTGGAGGCAGATGTTCTGTGGGGGCTGGTGGCCGCCCAGGGCCCATGCTCTGGCTGCTAGAGGAGCCCACAGCTCGGGGACAGTCTGCCTGGGCCTCAGCCACATTTTGTCTTTGCTGTTTTCACAGTCAAGGGGAGCAGAGCCATGAGGGCCTGACCCTAAAGCAGCCCCTTACCCCCAAGTTGATGTTTTCCTTCATCCCCTTACTATGCCGGGGGTGTTTAGTGGAGGATACATAAGCCCCCCTGCGCCTGGCCAGAGGATGAGCTGGGGCACAACTCACCCGGTTGGCTCCCAGGGGTTGGTGGAGGCTCGGCACAGGAAGGTGGCACGCTTCCTTAAGAGGCACAATGTAAGGAGAGCCTTATGCCAGGGAGCTGCTCTCTGCTTCTGTGTCCAGGACCCAGGGGGGACACTGTGATGGGACTGGAGGGCCACTTCCCGGCATGCCTCTGGCAGTACATTTTGTCTGTTTTATCACCTGCCCAAAACCATGCTGACCACACTTGGCTGGTCGCCCTCTCTCTTTTCCTTCTGATTGTTGTTCAAAGTCGTAACTAACACGGAAAAGAACATGGGTTTGTGAATGCTGTCTACTTAAATTGATGCAGGTTAGCTCAAGGGAGTGACGTTGATTGCATGTTTGCATCCAAAGAAAGAGGTCATTTTAAGCATTTCTTCCCTTCACCGCTTTTTAAATTGGTCTCTGTGGGCCCATGGCTTTGAAATTGCTGCCCGTTGCAGCAGGGCTGTTAACTGTGTGTTGCCAGGGTCTTGCAGGTAAGCTCTGAGGGTGGGGGCGCATGGGTGTTCTAGGGTCAAGGCAGGAGTTTGATTTCAGGAGCTGGAGATGTGAGTGTGGCCTGGTCTTCCATGCCATTGGCCTGTCAAGTCTAGACTTGTACTGAGTGTGGGGAGTGGGGGAGCATCCACTCAGGTGTGTGTTTCCACCCAGCTCCGTATCTTTCCATGAACGGGCCTCTGAGTTAGGGTGAGGATGCTGTCCCGGCTGCCCAGCCCCTCGGTGCCCCTCCCAGTGCTCTATCCCAGGCCTTCAAAGCTTCGTGGTCTCCCCTTCTTGTTTCCCACCCTCGATCGCCGTCCCCCCAGCCCTTACCCCTGCTGCTTCCTGTCCATAAGTGTAGCCTGCTGGCTTCCCTGGAGTCCGCTCCATGGGCCAGCGAGAGCAGGCTCAAGGCCTGGCCCAGAGGAAGTGGACCTCGCCACCAAAGCTCGGAGAAGGGCGTGGCCGGTATTGCCAGTGAAGCTACCGTTTTCCAGGGTGGGTGGGGTTTTCAAGTAAATCCCCTCGTACAGTGGGGCTTGCTTTTGCTTTTCACCACACCAGGACGTGCCATCTAGCCTGGAGCTGAGCTGGACCTCGGGCTAAGTTAGACTCGTCCAGCGCAGGATCTCACTGTGGCCCCTCCCTCTTCATCGTTGTAGGACAAGAGGAGTGGCCGAACTCCAGACACAAGGCTCCTTCCTCGAGGACAACGAAGGGGGCCTACCGAGACCAGCCGTATGGCAGATTCTGACCGTTCTGTCTTGTGAGATAGCCAATCTCCACCAGTCCTGTATCCTGTTCAAAGTAATTTTTTTCTATGAACAATCCCTTTTTAATAAGATACGAATGGATGGAACTTAAAAAACTACTTTGCTGAAACGTCAACTGGGCAGAAAAGGGAAAAAAGGACATGTAAAAATTTTGTTATTTCTAGTCTGTATATGAAAAATAGGTCATCAAAAGAAAAAACATAACTTTGATTAACTAGTGTTAAAAAGCAACCACAAATAGGTTGACTAAATATGTTAATCCATTCTTTTAACATCAGCCTCACCTTTCCTTGTAAAGGTTCCCACAGGACTTAGTTCTTTCTCTTTCAGCCTCTGCTAGTCTTTGGACGGTTTTTGTTTTGTTTTGTTTTTTGCTTTGTTTCCGTTTTCTTTTCTTTTTCCTCTTGCCAACATGCGTAAAAAGGGAAGCCAATTACAAGTGCAAATAATGTGGTATTCTTTTGTAACTCGAGTCTTGAAATGTTCTGTAGTGTTAAGCAAAGCGTCCTCTTGCTTGATACTAAATAAACTTTTGAAAGAAATCGCGTGTGTGTGAGCTAACAGTTTCATGTTTTTCTTATTTAAAAAGGCTTTCATAAATAGTTGTAAACAGGGCAGAGCAACCATTTAACAACGCTTGTCAAAAAACCAAAAGCAAGAAAGAAAGAAAGAAAAAGGGTCACACTAAACATTGTGCAGCCTATTGTTTTTTTTTAAAAACTGGTCTAAAAACTAAATGTGCCGTCCTGTGCTCACCGTAGAAGTAGATGCCGGTTAAAGACGCCACACGGGACCCCGCTGCTGCGCAGGGTGGCGAGTTAAGTAAGACTCCACCGCCAAGCCCCCTCCATCCCGTTGTTTAAACAAAGCAAAACGGTCTTAAAATAACGACTGGATTCTCTGCAAAAAACAAAAAAACACCAAAAAAACCCACCTGTGGTCCGTTCTCACCTTGTCGAGCGTTTTTCCACTAGTGCAACTTTGGAATTTTTATGAGAATTTTGGTACCTTAGTGAACCGCCTCGCTCCGTGCTGGACGCAATGAGCACAGAGCTGTCAGAGACACTCTGAGGGCCGGCCCACTCACTCGCCAGGCGGAGGACGTTGTAACCCTAAAAACGGTCTTCATTTTCAAAGGTAAATAAAGCAAATAAGACTTTAATCTCACTTAATTTATTCTTAATATCACTAATAAAAACCAGGGCGCGCGCTTACCACGTAGAAAGCAGTTTTCCTTCTTGTTTGGCCGCTTTAGAGAAGGATTACCACGTAGAAAGCCGTGTTCCTTCTCGTTTGGCCGCTTTAGAGAAGGATTTTCGACGCGCACCTAAATTCTCATTTTAAAAAGCTTAATTTGCTTCCGTAACCTAAAAAAGGCCTTAGTTTAGGCAGTTTAATTGGGGCCACTTCTTCCCTGTTAAACAGACGTAAAACCTCATAATTAGCTGTTGGTAATACGTTATCTGGTTATAAATGTCAGTAATTGAGGGCACTTCTTAAAATGGACAGCTACCTAATGTTAAAGTTACCCTTTAATCATGTGGCTTAATTTCGCCTTTTCACTGTAGACTGTGTGAAATGTGGCTTTTCCTTTTTCTTTTTTTGTATTTCTTGGGAGGCTGTCTTCCCTTCCAGTAAAAAGGTCTTTTCTCTCACCAGGCAATGTCAGCCGTCTTGGAGTGTCAAAGGAACGGGCGTGCACCCGAGCAAACCCAGGTAAGCTTGGCCCCTTTGTGCCACCCACCCTGCCCGGGGGCTCTGGATGGTGAGGGGGGCTCCATGTTTCTCCAGGACAGCTTGGGCGTCTCCCAGGATGGTTCCCGGCTGCCAGCCCCTGTGATTGAGGCCGATTAGCTGGCCCTCTGCTTGGCGCCCGCCCCCATCAAGGGACGCCCAGTGTGGAAACCAGTCAGATGCTGGCCACAGAGGGACGGGCACTGAAATAGTCAGGCGGTTTGCTCTGGGCACCTGGAGCGGATTTAGGCAGTGACGTGAGAGAAAAACATTTCCAGATTATTTAGGAAAATGAAGCCCTTGGCTCAACTGAGTGGTTACCTCATTTAAGAACCGTGTGTTCTCTCTCCATTGGGCCGCTAACTGCAAGGCCAGCAGTTTGAAACCACCAGCCGCTCCTCAGAAGGAAGAGGAGGCTTCCTACTCCCGTGAAGAGTTACCAGGCTAGGAAACGCACAGGGACAGCTCTCCCCTGTCCTGTAGGGTGGCTATGAGTCGGCACCGACCCCGTGACAGTGAGTTGTGAGAAGACAGATGGACAAAATCCCAAGCCAAGCCCAGTGCCATCAAGTGGAGGGTCTGCAAGGCTGGAAATCTTAGCAGGATAGCAGCCTCACCTTTCTCCGGGAGAGCAGTCCACTGTTTACCTGACAGCTCCCCTAGGGCTCCTAGATGGACAGACAGAATGTCAGGTTTCTGGATGCTTTTCTTCAGCTCTTGCTTCCCAGCTGGGGAAGACCTCACGGGGCAGACGCATGAGGAGGGAGCGAAAGTAAGAGAGAGCTAAGTTTTGATAGTAGGGCCTCACAGACAGGAAGGGGCCACCTGGGGAAAGCGCAGAGAGGCAGGTGGTTATAAAGCGCTTGGTCCTTCTTGCCCCTCCTCCCAGCCCTCTTCGAGGGCATGCTGTGGGTAGGTGGGCGCTTCATGCAGATGCTCCGCTGTTGCCGGTGCCTTGTGATGTAAGGGTTCCTACCCCACCAGGTCTTTCTAACCCCTCTAGCGCATGCCTGTTCTCATGGAAACCGCCTTTTCCTTAAGGCTGGCCTCTGCTTTGCTGGTCCTTGCTGATTAGTGGGTCTTTGAGGGACCACCCTTCTTCCCCTACGCTGCCAGCTTATCAGATCAGACAGACAGGCAGAAAATAGGCTTCATCTATGTACTGGATTTGAGACAGCTTCAAGGCGTTGCAGGAGATTTTCCATTATCTTTTCATTCCATTTCTCCACGACCTCTCAGAAGGCCCCTCATATGCATATTCCCCCCTATGTGCCGTGTGTCTGATATCTTTGCTTTATATACAAAACCTAAACTGTAAGGGTAAGCTGCCATTCTCCCCGCCCCTGAATTCTCTTAAGAAGTAAGGAATTTGACTTTTGTGTACTTTTCTGCACATCAGAGCTGCGTGAAACAGATTACAGGCCGCCCCTTATTTAGGATCACCGCACACTTGCCCTTGAATGCGTGTACATTTGTCCTTACATCGAAATGCCTGAACCAGCCCTGAGCAGCACCGGCTTCTCTGTCACAGTCACCGTCCCTGGCTGCGCCGGAGCGCTTGAAGCACTGCGCCACACCCATGGCCTTGGAGTCAACCCCAGCTCCTGGCCACCCACCCGAGGGTCTCTGGGCCTGGGAAGCTTCATGGTAGCAGACAGCCTCATCTTTCTCCTGGAGGTCTGATTGGCCAGCCTTGCTGGTGGGTGATTAGCAACCAAATGCCTAACTCACATCCCCTGCAGGGCTCCTTGTGTGCACTTGGCCAGCACGCAGTTCAGACCACAGAGCGCTCCACCCGAGAACGCTGTGGCCCTCTGCTCCCTGTGAAGATTTGCAGTGTCAGAAACCCACAGTGGGCTGCCCTACCCTGTCCTGTAGCTTTTCCCTGTCTTGTCGATTGAGTCTGCTTCCACTTGATGGCACTGAGCTTGGTTTGGGGGCCAGGGGTGGGGGGCAGGGGGACTGTAGTTAAGACTAAACAAGAACCAACTGTAGAAACCTCTGCCAGCTTACAATTCTGACTTAAAAACACACAGAGCAACAGGGTTGGTTCAAAGCCCAGGAACGTGCCTGCATTCCTTTTGTGAGGGTAAATATGAAAGGTGTTTGCAAATTATTTCATAACTGAGAGGAATCTAGGTCTGGGAAGGAAAGGTTCCATTCAAGTGGCCTCATTCTCAGAGGCTGAATTTTATCTCCAAGGATCAGTGTCACTGCTACCTAGTCTATTCCGACTCACAGCAAACCGAGCCCTCAGGACACACCGTAGAACTGCCCCTGTGGGTTTCCCAGGCTGCAAGTCTTTACAGGCGTAAAAGCCTCATTTGTTCTCTTGTGGAGTGCTTGGTGATTTTGAACTGCCGGCCATGTGGTTAGCAGCCTGACGGGTGACCCACTGAGCCACTAGGGCTCTTTCTGCTTGGTCCCTGGCCTCCCAGGGACGAGCTCCTTCTGCGGTGTGTTTGCATTTGGATCTAGCTGCCTCCCACCTTCCTCAGTCCAAGGACTGTGGTCCTTCGCTCTCTGGCATGGTCGTTGTCGTGAGAATTGGGTGCGATCATGTTGTGCATGTGCCCCGTTCCGTGCTGCTGTCTGGTCCTCCTGAGTATACGTGAGCACACACGTGGGAACACGTGGCCGATACGTTGCGAGTGTACCAGCTTTTGCTTCTGGGTAGCTCCAGCTAGCCTGCTACCATCACGCTGTCCACAGGCCCGAGTTCATCCTCTCGGTTTTCCTGCGGAGAAAGGGGATGGTGAGGCGTTGACTGTCTGCAGAATGTCAAGTCTGTGTCTGTCCTTCCAAAGAATGAATGCTCCTGAGGAGCTGCCATGCTCACAAAGATGCTCCCAAGGTGGCACAGTGAAGCCGGCCGCACACCACACGGTCGGCAGTCCCCACCCACCAGCCCCTCTGCGGGAGGAGGAGGAGGCCGTCTGCTTCAGTCTAGGTGGAAACCCTTCGAGGCAGTTCTGCCCCGTCCTCTCGGACCACCACGAGTTGGAGTCCATGCCCCACGCAGTGGGTCTAGCTGTTTGGTTTCCTAATCGACGGAGAGTTCCCCGATCAGTCCCTACAGGGTCAGATCTCCGAGGCCTTCAGAGTGAATCCAGAGAAGTCGGGGGTAGTTGCATGTTCCACTCCCACCCCTTGAAGAATCCATCGATTTCGCCAGAGTATGAGACAGGGCTGGGGTCCGCATACCCGTCCCTGGCCCCACCAACCCTTCGCCTTGCTCAGCTCTCCAGCTCGCTCCCACCTGGCTGACATCCGGCCAAGCCTGCACCTGCTTTCTCTCTGGACTTGAGCCGCTGCTTTGGGCCAGCCTGTCTCCTCGGATCCCTGGGCATCCATGGCTCCCAGCTTGGGTTTTCCCAGGGTGGAATTCACTCGCTTTCTCATTCGTCCTGAGAGGCAGGTCCGTGCCATACACCACAAGGGGTGGGGTGGGTGGAGGGAACCGGGAGTCCAAAGACCCTTGAGACACAGGCCCTCCTGCTCAAAGGAGTCTAGAGATGAAGCCGGTCTCTGGGGGCCCATCCCCCATTGTCCACAGAAACCACAGCTGCCCGTGAAGACTGGGCCATAGCCCCTCTGCCCGCTGGAGTGGCATGAGTGCCTTGTGTGTTAGCTCACCATCTCAGGATGGGCGTCCTATGACTTAACCGTTGGTGCCAAGTTGCCATGATGACCACGTGTCCTGTGCTTATTGCTTTCCAACTGTCAGAAGAGATTGACGTTCCAACCTAACAAAGGGCGACGGGCACATGGGTCTCCGGCAGTGCCAAGTTCACACGCCTTGTTAAAG